TCTACAACTTAGAGTGAATGTCAGGAAGCTTTATGAGAAAAATATATAAAAATCCCTATGGGCTTTTGCAGTTAGCAGAATAGTCAGACTAAGTGACTGCATAGTTTAGGCCTCATCTCGGTCCAGCACTGGCCCTGATAGATGATGGCTCTGCATCATTTGTTCTCTGATGAAAGCATTCCCCATCAAGTACCTGGACCATGGGGCCAGCAACACACAGGAATTGCTCTAGCATCAGCACCTGCCCATCAGTGCTTTCTAGGGAAAATGAGTTGAGTCATAAGGACCAGGTTCTGCATGGGCATCAATTGATGTGGAGAACCATACTGGTGAAACTGATAAAAAACAAGTGGTTGTGAGTATTCCAGCCTAAAAGAGACATCTTTATCATCTCCCCTTACCCAAGGCTTAGGGAGCATCAACGAAGAGGCAGGAGAGGAGTGCTGTGGGATACTGGACACGAGGTATTTGTATGCATAAACTCCAAGCAGCCATAGCTCTGGAACAAAATGGGCAAAAAATCAAGTTAGTCCGAGCTCCAGGAGGAACTGATGAGGCTATTGTCCCTTACCAGCTTATGGTGGCTGAAGGAAGAAATAGTCACGTGGAGGGTAGCCATTAGCAGTTTGCCCATGCTACAGTATATAGTTGCTTCACCTATGTGCATTCTGGCAGCACGGATCAGATCAAGTGGGATACTATATAATCATAATAAAAGGTTATACCTTGGTAATCTGCTAATTAATTGATTTAACAGCTATCCATCATCCACACATAAGCAAATAATAAATACCATACTTGTCTTTCTAGGTTACCTGACTTAGGACAATGTATTTTTTTCTAGTTTTATCAATTTACTTAGAAATTTCATGTTTTTATTTTTAATGGCTAAGTTATATTCCATAGCAGTGTGAATTTTAATTGGTCTTAATAATAAAATCCCAGAGTCAGCTATTAGGTGTTGAAAGCTGAAAGATCAGAGAAGAAAAGCAGCCAGCCACTAAAGTTCTTACCTCTGTGAAATCCTCAAACTGAAAAGCTGAGCTCCTGTCTCCTCCTGCCTTCTATCTCTCTCTCTGCCCAGCCATATCATTTCCTGTCCTCACCTTCTAAGTACTGAGATCAAAGGTGTGAGATCCCAAGTGCTGGGATCAAAGGTGTGTGCCACTACTGCCTGGCTTCCATGGCTAACTAGTGGCTAGTTCCATCTTCTGATCCTCAGACAAGTTTTATTTGTTAGAACACAGACAAAATATCACCATATTCTAATGTGTAAATGTACCATGGTTGACTGAGGTTTCTGTCCCACCCAGTCCCACAGCCTTCAATCCCAAAGAAACACAGAGGCCTGCATTAATTATAAATTGGTTGGCCTACTAGTTCAGGTTTCTTATTAACTCTTATAACTTATATTAGCCCATAATTCTTGTCTGTGTTAGCTGCATGTCTTGGTACCTTTGTCAGTGAGGGATTCTCATCTTGCTTCCTCTGCGGCTGGTTGACAACTGCAGACTGACTCCTCTCCCCAGAATTCTCCTGTTCTAGTTACCCAGCCTCTACTCCCTGCCTGATCGCCCCACCTCAGCTTCCTGCCTGGCTACTGGCCAAAGAGCATTTTATTAAAATACTAATAACAAATCTTTACAGGGTACAGGACCATTGTCCCACATATATCATACTTTTCTTTCTTTTCTTTCATTTGCATTCCCTCCTTTGAAAATTCTCAGTTTAGATCTGAACATTATTCTTTAATTTGGTTCTTTTGTTTACTTGTTATCTAGGTTTTATTTTTTTTTTATATATTTTGGATATTCTCCCTCCCTCAGATGTGTAGTTCACAAAAATATTTTCCTGATCTATCTACAGGCTGTGGCTTTGTCCTATCTACAGTGTCCCTTGCTGTGTAGAAGCTTTCCATTTCATGAGGTCCCTTTTATTAATTGTTGATCTCAATGCCCGTGTAAACTATGTTTTGTTCACAAAGCCTTCTCCTATGCCAATGAGTTCAAGGCTATTCCCACATTCTCTGCTAATCAGGTTCAGTGTGTCTGAGGTTATGCGGAGGTCTTTGACCCTTTAAAGGTGAGTTTTATGCAGGGTAACCAAGCAGGTATGAGGCTGTCGCAGAAGCATCTAGACAAATACTAGGCCAGTCTCAGTTATGGAGAGGGTTGCATCTCAGCCTGGATATGGAATAAGACCTTGTTTCAACAAGATATATGCACAGTAAAATAGAACCGTTTCTTCCAGGGGTACCTTGTCAATCAGCTAACAACATCTTAACTACAGATAATAAAACTATGCTCAAGCCACATGAAGGCTCTTTGCATTCAAAATGAGCATGTGAGCCAGGTGGTGGTGGCACATGTCTTTAATTCTAGCACTTGGGAGGCAGAGATATGCAGATATCTGAGTTCCATCCTAGCCTAGACTATATCAGGCAGCCAGGGCTACACAGAGAAACCCTGTCTTGGGGTGGGGGGGGAGCAGGGAAGGCATTTGAAAATTAGAAAGAAAGTGCCCCCAAGACTTTCATAAATGACAATGTTTATCACCAATTTTGCTTTTCATAAGTGAAAAACAAATCATTCCAAAGCCATTTATTTCATGAAAATGTATCTGCCCCCCCCCCCGTAAGTCAAACAATAGGAGTTCTTCTGAAACACAGTGAGACCCAGTATTCCAGGCAGCCCAGCTTCTGGAAATTCTACTCCAGAGAAAGAAATGCCCATCAAGCAGCTTAGGCAATACATATATGCTTCCAGAGGGTGCTCAGTATGTGGAAATATAAAGCAAAGCATTTCCAGGAGACTGGATTGTGTATACTTAAAAATTACATATTGAAATCCAAAACCCTAGTGGACACGAACAAGCTATGCCTCTCATGTACGTGGTCTTAAATCACAGACTAACAACATTTTCAATTATTGCTACCATTTCATCATTCCTTAATGATGATTTCCCACAAAGCAATCAAGTAGAAGGGTAGGTGATGGTCCACCAACTAGACAACTCGGTAGCATCAATGCCTCATCCACAGGCATAGTCACAGTAGCACTGAGGAAAGCCTGTGCTCCAGCCAAAGGTCTAACAAGTATGTGCTGTTGTGCTTACAGTCCTGAAAACTATGCCGTATCTGGAGGGCATTGCATTAAGTGAAATAATCTATACAAAGAAAGACAAATGGCCCAAGATCTCACCCATGTGGATCTAAAAATAGGGCAGAATGGTGATTATCAGAGATTAGATAGTTAGGCTGGGACAGAGAGTAGAGAGATATTGCTTAAAAAAATATACAGCCATAATTATATCAGAGAAACAAGTCTAAGAGTTTTACTATACCCATAGTATCTACCTAGGGTTGATAACCAGATATCACATTCCTGAAAAAGGCAAAGAGAGTGGATGTTGAGTAACTATCCCATGACTGATAACTATGCAAGGCATTATATTTGTTTGTTATATGCAGTAAATATATACAGGTTTCTTTTTTTACAGCTAAGGCCAGCTATTGTAAGCTCTATTTTGTGCGCTATACATAGCAGGATGGATGTGTTTTTGTAATGTATCCACTGTCATACAAACACACTATATCCGTTGAGTTTGTATAGGGATACTATATGTAAGTGTAAGTCGCATACCAACTTTCTACTTATCTTTGTTGTAGTAGCAACCCTTTATCTGTTGTTTGGCTCTCTGGATTATCAATAGTCAACCATAGTTCAAAGATATGAAATGAAAATCGCAGAAAGAGACCATTTGCACCTTATCAGTGATGGGCCACTCCAAGTCATGCATTGAAATTCTTCTCCATTTTGCCCTGAAGATAAATTACTCTTGTGTCCATTGTGGTTCCATTGTTTATGCTACCCTCACACTCAGGATTCAGTAGCCATCTTGGTTCTCAAGTCAGCCACCATGATATGACATTGCTTACGTGGAAGTGACCCTTACACAATACCCTAACGCTACGTTAAAACGCCTACACTATACACCTCATCCTGAACACAAAGTGTCGCTCCCTGACATTACAAAAAAGAGAAAGATGAGTATAATGTCACATTTTTTAAGAGTCAACGTTGATAGAACTTTTACTGAAATGTATTGTTATCACTAAATGTTCTATTTATTATTAGTTCTTCATCTTTTCCTATGAACAATTTATAAATTAAACCTTATGTATGTATGGAGAAAATCAGAAGGTTTAGGGTCCTCTCCTATCCATTGTTTCAGACATCCACTGAGGTTCTTGGAAAGTCTCCTCCCTGCGTTAGATTGAGCTACTTTTTATTTTTTTTTTAATTGAAAAAAAAAAAACTATTGTCGTGCTGGTCAGGCTTGTCATCTGATGCCAGTTTATCCTGGTTTCTTTTCAAGGTTTTAATGTATACTCTAACCATATCCCCCAGTGGTACTAGGAGTGCTCTAACAGACGGCTATTATGTGATGCTCTTGCACTTTGGCCTCCGAAGTTGTCTGTCTGCATCGCGGCACTATTTTGAAACTAATTCAAAGAGGCTTTATTCCGTGCTTCTTCACCACAGGCGAAGGGACTGTTCTCATCTGGGAACTGCCCGGCAAGAGCTGCAGGCCAAATCTGGCATGAATTTATCCAAAGAGTAGCCTCAGTGTTCCCATTTCAATGCTGAATGGGCTATTGAGTTCTGACACTCCCCTCCTCCAAACCTCTTAGGTTAGACTGCCTTCAATAAAAGAACTTGTCGATTTTTTTTATTAACTTGTTCAGATCTTTGTAAGAGATTGCAATTGCATGCTTTGTCTTATGTATGTAGAGGAATAAGAGCAGTAAATGGGAATAAGGATTCCAGGGACTATTATATATCAGAAAAATAAGAAAATAAATAATTTTACATGCTTTGTGGATGGTCAGTCTATTTCTGAGACACATAATCTAATTCCATGACACTTAGTCCAGTTTTTTTTTTATCCATAACTTTATTTTGTTTTAATACACAGCTTGGGTAGACCAGAATGCTTTGGGCATTGCTCACACAGCTTAGAACCTACATCTTCTGCAGTTTCTTTGGTACATTTTGTTTAATGTGGGCTTTCTTCTATCAATTGAGACATCAGAATCACAGACTAAGCAAGCACTTCCTATCTGGACATTCTCTGGTTTCTTCCTATGGATGTGCTGTATCTCCCTAGTTACCAGGGATGAGTCAGGCTTCTGCAGCAGCCTGGCCTGGAGGAGAAGCGGCATGGCTAGGAGTTCTTGCTTCACTGGCTAATCACTCATTTCCTTCCTTGAGAAGCTTTCTAACACCTATCACTCTTGTTCTTTCATGGACCAAATATAGGAGCTCAAGAAATTCGCTCAATATGCTTGACTTAGGAAAAAAAAAACTATAAACACATTATGGGGAAGCTCTATGAAACATTGAGAATAATTCGTTCTTCTCCGAGCATCTGTAGTACATGAGGCAGTATCAGCAGGTGGCCTGCACAAAATTAAGGGCATTCTCCAAGGGCAGAAGAGAGTGCCACAAAGATGAAGATATTTGAAACTCTTTGCTGGCCATTCTGTGGCCTAGGGAATAGCCTAGAAGAGAGAGTGGGAAGCTGTGAGGATCCAGAGGATGCAGATTAGTACAATGGCATGCCATCCTCTGGATATAACATGCTGTTGCAATAATGACCATACATACATAAAATATGAACATCTGTAGCTATCACAGTTTAAAGTTGTATACATTTATTTATTTATTTATTTATTTATTTATTTTTGCCAGTTAGTTTCTTGCTCGTATACAATGTACTTTAATCATGGTCTCCTCCTCCAATTTCTTCTTTTATCTCACTCCTGTTAAAAGCTTTCTTCTCTCTAACTCATTCCCACCCTAAATCCTCTATGCAAGTTCTTGCAGAGGTGGTCATAGCCACTGAATGTATGTTATGTTCTGAGTAACGTCTGTACAGAGAACTTGTATACAACTTTAAACCAGGATAACTATAGATTCTTTCCTAGCTGTAGGAAATATCAGCACATGTCTCTTGCTAAAGCCACTTCCCCATTTTCCTTAGATTTAAAGGAGACTCTTGTTCCGGCACTTTTGGGCTAACAGAGTGAATTTTCTAAAGACAAATGAGAAAGGAGACTGAAAAATGAGATCATTGGCCAAACTGGTTTATGTGAAAAGAAACAAACAAACAAACAAAATATTAGATGGGTAGCAGAATAGTAAGATCCGAGATGAAAGAGGCAGGGAGACGGAGGGGAGAGCCTGGTACACTTGCTGCAGGGACCCGGGCCTGAGCAAGGCCAGCAAAGCATCTTTGCTGATGAATACACCTGGTATTTAAGTCACGTTTCCGGTGAGGCAGTAAAGTCATTTCCTTATGTCAGTCCTAACCCCAGAGCCCTTAGTCTCAGACAATCATCTGATCCGGAAACTGAGAGGATCTCACAAAGGATGGACTTGCACAATTTTAGGTAAGATGGTTCAAGTCAGTTTCTTTTTTAAAAAATATATAATAAAATAAAATAAAAGATTTACTTATGTATTTTATGTATATGAGTCAGATCCCATCATAGATGGTTGTGAGCCACAAGTGGTTGCTGAAAATTGAACTCAGGCCCTCTGGAATAGTGCTCTTATCTGCTGAGTCATCTCTCCAGCCCCTCAAGTCAGTTTTCCTTCAAAGATCACCTCCAATCATAAGCTGCAAACTCATGCATACTTACTTGATACTAGCAAATAGGGTTCCTGGGTAATTAGTATATTCTTATAGTTTTTCTAATCATAATAGCAAATTCAAGGTATCAAATGCATCAAATCGATAATAGTGAAAAGGCAAAATAAGAATCTTCAATAATCCCTTCCTTGCCAGGCAACTTTTCTCTAGATTGTCATCCATTCTTCAAAGTTTCTTGCCTCACTCCCTAAATATTGCTGGCATTGCAACCTGAATAGACAGGAATAATAGAGCTCCAGTTCCAAACCTCAAGAAACCTCCAGAAGTGCTCAGCTCTTCTCCTGACAAGTAGACAAGTTTAGAAGTTTGTCATCAAGAGAGGAGATACCAGTATCCTCAGTAAAGCCACAACGTGACTAACCAGCTCATGTACATAACACAGCCACTTCAAGGAGGCAGAGAAAACTCTTAACACACCAGAAGCTTTGGCTTTTCCAGAAAAACCACCTAGATGACTTGAATATTCATGAGACAGACTAAGTGTATACTGTTTCAATCCAAGTGGTCTTGGGGTGAGTTTTGTTATACAGTAATAGCTAACCCATGCATCTCATTGAGAGGGAGCAAAAACATATCCAAAGCAGGCTAAGTCATTTGCTTATAAACCTTATCATTTAAACCAGACTTAAATGCCAACCTATGTCTTCTGCATATTGATACAGACAGCAAGTTTTCCTTCATATCAGGAAAAAAAATGATTTCCGCAGTGAACTACAGAGAAAGCTGGGTGACTAAGAGCCCTGGAGAGGACCTGGGTCCAGTTCCCAGCATCCCTGTGGCAGCTCACCACCATCTGTAATTCCAGTTGTAAGGGCTCTTGTGCCCTTTTTCTGACATCTGTGGATGCCAAGGATGCCCGAAGTACATGCACAAACACACACATGTACCTACATTCAGGCAAATCATTCATGCACATTAAATAAAAATAAATGGCTTTCATTTACCATTTTCTTGAATTTAAAATATCTTTCTCTAATTTGTATGTTTCTTTCTGATTTTTCATATACATTGAAAGGATGTCTTATGTCTCATTTCTCCCTCTTATTTCTGGGAAGCTCAATCCATTCGAGTCTATGTGTTCTTAGAACAGCTTCATGGTAACTTGAATTTAAGACATATAAAATAAACCAGAAAGGGGGGGGGCGTGCTCCTTTCATTTTATCACCTGCGTGGCAGAGGTAGGTAGGGCTCAATGAGTTCAAAGCCAGCCAAATCTACAAAGGGAGTTCCCTTTTGCAGAGGACCTGAGTTCACTTCCCCTCGTCGGTGTCAGGAGCTTACAACAGCCTAAGACTCAAGTCCCAGGAGGAACCGACCCCCCGGACCCACAAAGTACATGCATTTGTTCCTACACATATGTTCCCACACAGACACATAGGCATACACATAATCTAAAAAAAAAAAATGAAAATAAATTTGTTTGCAGAAAAAAGTGGGGCAGAACAACAGAAAATATAGTTGATTTGAGTGAGGGCTAAGACAAAGGCCCAAACTTGAGGAGCTGAATTTGCACTCCCAGAACCACACATGAAAGCACTTGAGCCCTGATGCAGGCGAGGCTGAGACAGGAAAGCTCATCAGGAAGCCCACTTAGCAGAATCGGCGAGCTCTGGGTCTAGGGAGAGGCTCTGTCTCCAAAGACAGACAACTGTTGAGGAAGCTCTGGTTTCCACACATACATGTGCTGACATACACGCAAACACACAGACATACACATGCACATCGTATGCATATGTGCACACACACAGAATTTATTTGGGGAGAAAATATACTGACAAATGCCAAATCAATGTAAAAAGAGTGGTTCTTTTCCTGTTTCTTTTTGTTCTATAATGCTGTAGTTTAATTAGAGGGGGGGCTCAGTGTATTCTAGGATTCTAGGAAAGCAGTCTACCACAGAAATATACACTCAGATCTCATCCAAACTTTTCTTTTTATTATAAAATTATATATAATAAAATTTTTGATTAGAAAGTTTTCTGAGTATTTTTACATCAACAAAACCAGTTCCTGCCAGTTTTTCTATACATATGTGAGCATCAAATAATAAAGGAAGAAATGACCAAATGATAGTGACTGGAGTCCCAGTAGAATGCATGGATGACCTTGCAGTTGAATTTGTTTTAAATTTCTCCAGACACTGCTTGCTATTTCAGAATCTGAGAATAACAGGAAGTGTCTCGATTCACTTTTTGAAAGAGAAACACAATAACTTAAAACCTAACAAGACTGGCACTAGCAAGAGAAATTCCAGATGCATCTAGATTACTAACAGTAATAGAAACATTATTTTGTACACCCATTAGATTAATCATATAATCCAATTAAATTACAAAATAACTGAATATAAGTCACTGAACACAAAGATCATTAAATGTAAAACACCTACCAGAATCATCACCAGTAGAAGCAAGACCAGGTGGGGATAGTAATTGATTTTGACTACTTGTTTGGAATATTTGGTAATTTCAAAGCTGCCTGTTTATAATTCTTTTGAAGCTTCCTTTTAGTTTTTACTTCCTATATCACATCATAGTGAAGCTGACACAAACTCGCTTGAAATAAAAGTTTAAGCTAAAATCAGCGTGTCCATGATTGTCACAAGTAATCAAAATAATTTTGTCTTTAAATTGGCCAGAACATTAGTTGAAATAATGTGGAACAACTCCCTAGCACTATGCTCCAAAACTCTAATAAAACATGTTATACCTCCGAGAGAATTATCAATATATCGAAATAAAGATGGCAGACGTGACATCTTTACTCCGTTCTCTCCACTGCTGCGTGTTAAAGCGCACTGCTGTCTCCTTTGATGTCTATTGTGGGTGTGTGGCTAGATCTGGCCATGTAATGTGAAAGGGGTTTGGCAGAAGTCCGCTTTCAGGACCAAGCTTTCTACTTAACAACAATCGATTCTCCAATTGAGCTTTACCTGGCTAACGGGAAAGCAGAAACCATTTGCGATGGTTTCAACTAGCTCCCAGAGCAGATACACAGTGGGCAGCTTCCCCAGTGGGTGGCACCCACCTGCTGAGCACTTCTCTACTGTGATTAAAAAAAAATAGATGTTTATTTTCTTCAGCTCTTTCTATTTGGGGGTTATTGCTCAAAAATGACTTGATTTGTCCAAAATGAAGCAAGAACTGTTCAAGAATAACCAACATTCCAACATAGCAATTAGAATACAGAAGAAAATCAGTTACGTATTAACAAAAAATACTCAGGCCTGCGTACAAAACATGAAAACTTTACTTCAAATCGAAGAATTTAATGGCTGGAAAACTACCGTGTAGGCAGAAGGAGAGATAAAAATCTATAAATCTGGGTGACTTCTGTAGTGATATTTCATTTGTATTTTAATAAATAAAGCTTGCCTAAAGATCAAAGAGTAAAATAGCCACCCTGTTAGCCTTGTAGACCAGGCAGTGGTGACACACACCCTTAATCCCAGTAACCACACTAGTTTGCCATAGAAATCAGGCAGTAGTGGTGCATGCCTTTAATCCCAGCACTAGAGAGGAATATAAGTCGGCAGGAGACAGTTCTCAGACACTCTCTCATTGTGAGGATTCCTGGAGGTAGTACCACCATTTGGACTGAGGTAGAGGTAAGAGCCAGTGGCCTGCTGTTTTGCTTTTCTGACCTTCAGGTTGAACCCCAGTATCTATCTGTCTCTGGGTTTTTATTAACCATGCTACAACTTCTTTTAAGACCAATAACAAATCCCGTCATTTCTTGTCAAAGCTCAAATGTAGCTTTTCTCTAACCTTAAGTTCAGAACATACTCAAAGAAGGAGGTAGTTGGACAGAAATTGTGTTTTTAAATGATGATGAGTAGCATTGGATGCTTGGTGAAAATATTTCAAATACATATAGATAACAGAGAACATATATAAAAAACTTATATGTATTGAATAATGAAAAGGCCAATTCATTGTAAGGAAGGAAAGAAGGAAAGAAGGAAGGAAGGAAGGAAGGAAGGAAGGAAGGAAGGAAGGAAGGAAGGAAGGAAGGAAACAACCAAAACAGCAATATAAAAAAAGCCAAATGGTGAGAAAAAGATACATCACAAAAATAAATGAAATATTCAATATCAGAACTCATGTCAAAAAGCTTGCATTCAGAAAACACAAATTAAAACCATAATCAGGGGCTCCTTTATTCGCACACTAGAAAAGTCTGTTTTTAAGACTGATGACAGCAAGTGCTCTCATAGAACTGAGCAGCTATAGAAAAAGCACTCGGGAAGGAGACGGCGGTTCCTTTGGAAGTTAAGTGCACACTTACTGCCTAACTCTGCAATTCACTCTTAGGTGTTTAGGGAAAAGGAAAAGAAACATGTGCCCAGCCAGTCTTTATGGAATGTTCCTGGTGACGATGTACAGTCATAGCAAGGAACAGCCCAAGTGCTCATCAACAGGCTACAGGATACAGATGCACAGCTATCATTCAATGAAATAGCACTCAACAAGAGAAAAGGATAAAGGACCGATAAACGGCTGCATCTCAAGACCAGATGCTGAGGCAAAGGCAGCAGACACAAGGAAGCAGACACTACTAATCTTGAGCCACTACTGCCTATCCTATGAAGATGTAAAAGACATTAACCGGGGACATAACTGAAACGTTCCAACTTTTGATGATATGTATGACTCACGGTGCATCAAAGCACACACTTCAGTGCACACATTTTACGTGAAATCTATACACATACAAAGCTGAATTTTTAATGTGATTCCCACCTTGGTGCCTTAACATGTTGTGAAATATGGCCACCAAATCATGGTAAATAAATGAAGCTGAAAATGTTTTTCTTTTCCAAGATTCTTCCCAGCCTCCCCAGTACTGGTAGGACCCGACTCGCATCACAGGAATAAATATCCCAAGGTGGAACATGGAGACTGAAAGAACAGAATGGCTTTCTCTCTTGATTTGCAGACAATTCACCAGGAAGGGATGAATTCACTGTCGCTGGGCAGGGGAGACCAGTTTGGCTCCTCACTTTCCAGTGTGACTCTTGATCCAACTGACTTCATACAGATGTAACATTGTGTTCATCTTTACTGCTTGGAGACTTAAAATATCTATATTTTTAAAATAACATCATGGAACTTACCTTTAAGCCCAACACTCATAGAGCTAAGGTTCAAGGTCAGCCTTGGGTACGGAGCAAGTGCATGCCTCAAAGGAAAATAGAAAGACGAGTGAATGTGAAAGGGAAGGACCAACTGAGACCAGAAGAGAAAGAGACCAAAGAGGATGAATGAGGAAGGCAAGGAAGGGTAAGGAAAGAGAGTAAGGTGGGGCAGTTTACTAATATCATGTGACAAGTAAGAAAAAGATAAGACCCACACAAATAGTAAATGATAAATAGATGATAGATAGATGATAGATAGATAGATAGATGGACGATTGATAGAAAGGTATATATATATTGATATATATTGATGATAGATAATAGATAGATATTAAGAGCTGATAGATTTAGAGATAGATAGATAGATAGATAGATAGGCAGATAGATGGACAGATAGATATTGATAGATGAAAGATACACAGACTTACAGATTTCTTGAAGTCATCCTTTCCCATCACCATGTATCTAGAAGCTCTTATGACATCAGTCAAAGGCCAGTGGGTGAGGCCAATTCTTCACAAATGTGTTCTTTGAGAATCTAAGGAGGCCATAAGGAATGAGTTAAGGGTGGGAGCGGGGAGGATTTCAGGTGCGCGCTCTTGATAGACAGGTCAGAATTAAGTTTCTTGTAATAGCCAAATACCTATTTCTGATGGCCAGGCTGGCTTCCGGTGTACATCACACCACAGCCCAGGCAAGGCCTGCTGCGTTGTAAAGCAAGCCTGTGGATGTCTTGAGGCAATTAGAAGATCAAACACGTGGGCGAGTTGAGGGGCTCTGGCTGGGGGCTGCAACGGCAGAATAGGCCATAAAGTTCTGGAAATGAAGGTTTCTCGGCTATCAAGACAATGATTGCCACATGCCAAAACATAAACCAGATTGCATAATGAGTTGGGTTTTCATAATTTCCTCAAATTAGGCTTTTATTAATGCCTGTCAACAGCAAATGATAGGCCTGCGCAGCACTAACAGCTGCCGTCGGTCATGCCAGCTCTGATATCACGGCTAAATCGAAAGCTTGCGGAGAGCTGAGGTAGGCCCCATCCCACTGGAATGAAAGTTTGGACACTTCGAAATAAAGGAAGAAGCAGTCTAGTTAGAATGTGACCAGTACCCGCAAATACTTGTTTTGAACGTGGTTGTTCACAGAAACGAATTTTCGCGCCCTACATGGATGTGTTTTCTCTTGTTGCAGACAGCTTGATTTACTGCAGGGGATCTCGGGATATTTCAGGGGTTCTGGTCTATTTATGGTCTACCTTCCTCGAATGACTTCCCAAAAAGGGGTGTGTGTGATGTTGTGGTCAGCTTCAAAGGTACAATATCACGGCAGGCTTGCGTAGAAAAGAGTCAGAAGGCAGTCGACCTTTTAAAACAATACAATATCAGTTAGATAATCAATCTGGGCTGCTAATGTCCTTCATTTAGTGAAAAATAGAGAGGATGAAAACATGCCATGTTACTGAACACAAATAAAAAAAACACAAAAAATTGAATACCGTAAATGGAAGATTTTTCTTTAATAGGGAACATTTTCTTAGGAAAAACCTTTCATTCAAGGGATTTAACTTGGTAAAATCTAAACATCTCTAGGCACTGAGGAATGTCAGGGGGGCTCCGAGCCAAAAAAAAAAAAAAAAAAAAAAAAAAAAGTCCAGCTTAGAAGAGTCAGGAGTGTAGCTGTAGCTGTAAGAGAATGTATAAGATGGAGTTGTAGGGTGAAGGCAATGAAGCTCAAGGGTAAATTCCTAAGTGACCCATGTCTTGGGAAAAGAATTTTAGTGGGTAATTTGAAATACTGACTTAAATAGAGACAGTAGAAGCATGAAAGATAAGGGAGCTGGAAATAAATCTAATAATATAGAGTAGTGAGTAAATCACATGTGTTAGGATAATGACTAGAAAGAAAGGGAGAGAAGAAGAGAGAGGGGAAAGGGAGGGAGGAAGGGAGGAAGAAAGGGATGAAGAAAGAAATGAAGGAAGGAAGGAAGAAAGGAAGGAAGGAAGGAAGGAAGGAAGGAAGGAAGGAAGGAAGGAAGGAAGAAAGGAAGGAATGAACCTATGTTTAAAGGGATTTCATGACACAGTGAGTAATGGCTAGAATTGTAGACCAAAACGAGAAATACACTATGATTCAGAACCTATAAGTAAAGGGAATTCTATTGTCTTTTTGCTGATAGAGGAAAGGGCTCTTTTGGTTTTGGTTTTTACATAAATAGGAGGCTGAAAGTACCAGGGCAGTGTGTTCTGCTCTTGCTGGTCATATCATCTCTGGAATTTACAAAAGACTCCTCTCCCTATGCTTGGCATGGTGGTTCATGCCTTTAATCCCAGCATGCAGGAGATAAAGCCAGGCAGAGCTCTGTGAGTTTGAGGCCAGTTTGGTCTACTTGCCAAGTTGCAAGACAACCAGAGCTACATAGACAACAAAGCTAAAAAATAAAACTCTCTCAAAAAACAAAAACAAACAAAATGTCCTGGGTACCCGCCTTGGTTACCAATCTCTACAGATGCTCAAGTTCTTTATAAAAGAGCATCTCTTTTAGGTGTAACTTATGTGCATCTGCTAGGATACTTGAAATCATTCACATATTAGTCATGCTAATTAGTAAAACAGAAACAGTATGCAAATAATTATACTGTACTGTTAAGAGAAATCACCCCAAACTGTGTTTCCAATCATTACAATCACTGTTCCCTTTGATTATTTCCATTGGTAGTTGGTTAAACACAGGGGTACAGAACAAGTAGGCAGAAATAACCTGGCTAGGCTGTAGACCTAAGAGATATCTGAAAAGTTCATTGGGATGAGTTCTCAAGTTTTATAGAAAGACCCCAGTTGAACCTGTAATAGTATTCCCATTATATAAACTACAGTGAATTGGGTCATCTAATGGCCCAGATTTAGCATCCAGCAATGCAGGTTCATCTGTGTCTAGCCGACGTTGGGGTAACTAAGAGCTCATTAGAAACAGAAAGGTCGTCATCAAAGTCATGAATATCCAGAGACAGAAAAATGCAGTAGATTCTGAAAGAGAGAGCCTTGGAGGGAGCGACAGCCTGAGCTGGGGAGCAAGAGAAACTCACAAAGAGACCCCTTAGCTCTTGGCCTCTCCATCTCCATCGTTTTCTCCTTTTTCCTCTTCCCTCTCCCTTTCTGTTTCCATTGGGTTCTGTTTCTAGTGAGAAGAAAGTCTTGAGAGTGACCAGCTGTCAATTTACCAGAGTCTGGGAACTCCCTACTTAGGATCAGGGCACAGGGAGCAATACACGCAAGAACAGCTAAGTGTCCAAAGTCAGCCAAGAGCCCCGAGAAAGCAAGCCAGAGAGAATGAAGTACAAATTGTGTTGGTGACAGAAGAAGATAAATAAGACCCCTAAGGGGAAAGTGTGGAAGGATGGGAACGCAGACCTTTTCCTTCTGTTTTGATGCTGATGAAGGACATGCAGAGTTCCCGTGGAGTGGAGATATTCCTTGGGTAGTACGGAACTGCAGATCCATCCTGGCAGAGGCCCTCCTTCTCCAACACAATAGACTCCTCAGCCCTCCATAGCCTTACCAGTCAGAGTCCTTTCTCTCAACCACCATCAGTGACGTCATCATTACTCAGCAAGTAGTTGTCGAATAGGTCCTATTTCCTTCCATCCCCCATTTGGCCATCCAGTTGCTCGCCATGATCCCAGATGTATTAGCAACGTAGAAATCAGAAATACATCAGAACCTCCAAAGCTTTGGCAGGAAGAATGTTGAACTGATTGCGTAACCAAGTTGCTTAATCCCTCTTTGCTTGTTTTCCGGCAATAGAGAAAAGCATGAGTTGGGCATACCATGCTTGACAACATCATTTTTAATGTATAGAAAACCATATTCGGGATGCACTCAATACCTGGGATTTAGTGCCAAATTGAATTTTTCCACCCGGAATGAAGCTGGCATATCTTCAACGGCCAATTATTCATGGAGGCACATTCTTGCCTCATATCGAAACAGAAAGTGCCAAATTCTCTGCAACGGGATTGGGTCACTTTAGCAAAACCACTGTATTGATTATTTAAGTGCTTAATAAGCAGTTATTAGATCGAAAGAGAGATGTTCTCCTCACTTCACCAAATCGCTACCACAGTATAACATGAGAATCTTTCTAAAATACCTTTTCAACATGAAAATCGCCAGAGGAAGGATGACTCGAAATAGATTTTTGAACCCTGTGAGCACATCGAAAATAATATGATCTGAATCAATTCCTCCTCGTTTTCAGTAACGTTTTGTTGAAAACCTTTTGATTTGAAGTAAGTACTTAGACAAGTTTTCTTTGTGCCATGACGACAGCTCTTTTAACTGATGAAACTAATCCAATTAAGTAACAAATAAGCCAACTTCAACTTCCGGGACAGGGTAGAAGGTAGGTAATAAGTTTTGAAGTGCCAGGGAAAACAGTTACTTTTTAAATAGAGCGTCTTTTTAAGTGAGCCGAGTGCAGGCAGCTTTTGGCTGTAATAACAAATTAGAATCGGAATACAGGTAATTTCAAATGTTTGAAAGAGCAAGGGAGTTTACAAAACACAGAACCTCTTTATATGTTAGAAACTATTGAGTTGAAAAGCCTTTAAAAGTGCTGAAGTAATCACCCCCAGCTTCATGCAGTAGCAGAGAAGGAAGCTTCTCAGAATCTTGAAACCCTTCAAAATCCCTGTGTGTTGTTTTCAAAGGAAAGTTCAAAGGGAGATCCTGATCTCGGCTTTATCGTCCCCCCCCCCCCCGTACTCCGTCACTTCTCAGATTCATGTCTTATGGCAAAATGTGCCATAAGACGTCTAACGAGAAGACAAAATGACTCCCAATCTGCTGTAAAATGTATTGGCTAATTCTTGAGAGACCATAATTAAGATGGCAAGGCTTCTAGTTGTCCCATACACAGTCATACACACATAGACACACACACACGTAATTAAGATGGCAAGGTTTCCAGTTGTTCCATACACAGTCATGTACACACATGCATGCATGTATATATACATATGCACGTGTCACATGTGCATAAACACCCCAAACCACACTCCATTTAAAGGCTTCCATCTGTATTACCACCCTTCTATTCTGATCTCATGGAATCATTTGTTCTCATATAGGAGGGGCAATGTGTGGTACCTTTCCTAAGACCTGATGAGAACACATTTGCCCATTGTAGGCTCAGCAGGGTGCCTGTCAATTTTCTCTAGAGATCTCTGCCTATAATGTGTCTCAGATGAATGAAGGTTGTCTGATGAACAGAAAGCTGAGCTTTAAACCACACTCAGTGTCACCCAGGAGCATAGATAAACTAGATTTTATAACAGATCCTGCCGTCTAACATAGTTTACTCTGACCCTAGACAACATGTATAGCTACCTCATCATGATCAACCTTGGGTAGAGCTTTTTTTAAAAGAAGGAATTGAGGTCTTCATTAACTCTGGGACCGGGCTAGAACACATAGCTGTTCTATACTGCTGATTTCAACCATGAAAGGAACAACATTGCTTGAGTTTATAGCCAGAAATTAGGGCTGGGCTAAATTAACTAGACTCCTATTACTCTACTAGTAAACACAGCCACAGTGGGAAGAGTCTCCATCTGTGAGGAGTCTGATGGCATTGGCTCCACCAGATGTCCCTCACGAACATCGCTGAGATATGCTCCCCAGCAATAAGGCTCAGAGAACTGGGTGGTCAGAGGAGACAGCCAAGACCTTTGTCACATATCCTCAATTAAACAGATTATCTTCCAACTCTTAAATCCTGAACCAAATGGATGGATGATCTCTTCCAACTCTGGTCCTTTTCCCTGTCCCTAGCCTATGTGCAATATCACCGTGCCGCCATTTACCGGGTCTTTTCAGCCAGAAAACAAGGGCATTTATTTCCATAACTAAAAATCTACTGATTGCCAAGGGTTACCAGTGGTGACTCTAAGCCAGATGTTCATTCTGCCCAATCCTCATCATCAACTCTGTCCATGTGGCTGGGAATATAGATGACTTGGTGAATGGTCTACTACAAAAGATGCTCTCAGATTGATGAGTTTCCAAGCCTGCTATCTTTTACCAGATTCCCTACCAAAGTATCGCCAACTCAGATCTTGTTTGGACCCATCCCCAACCCTACAGCCCCCAGGCCATCTTCTCTCACCTCAACCTTGCCCTTCCTAGCCCCATGGACCTCTTAACCTGTGCCCAACCCTGTTGCCTCCCCTGCCCATCCCATGTTCTTTGGTACATACATTGATCACGTTTCAGAGGAAGGCAGAGGCTACCTCTTCACACTCACAAATGAATACTCGGGAGCTTTCACGATTGATGCTGTATAACAGCTATTGTCCAGGAAATATCTACTGAATAAATCCTCCATCTCTGTCTTATAGATAAGATATTAGAGTCCTTTGAGGACAGGTAAAATTACCAAGTCACCCATTGGTTTGTAGCAGAATTGTCATTCAAAACCCATAGCTACTTATCCCAGAATTGTTTCTTCCCCCTTGATACCTCACCCCTTCTGGCCACCAAACACCCTCTCTGGCATCGTGATCGTCCTCCAGTGCCCATCCACCCACTGAAATGAATGCCCTTGATACCTTTAGAAAGCACAAGGCAGACAACACTTTCCACAGCAAATGTGGCACAAAGTGACAGACTCTATTCTCAAAGTCACATGAGCAACGAACATCTCTATCCTCAGAAAATGAATCTTCAGTAAGTCTCTTGGTGAAGGCCTTTGCTCATCTTAGCAGAGAGAGGGGGTCTCCGTCCAATCAATTACTGGCTTCAGGAGGAAGGAGAGATGCTAAGTGTATCCTTGTAACACACAATGGAAATTGAAATTAATCTAATTAGTCTGGAGGAACACTTCAATGCCGGAGTGATCTGTAATAGATGCAGAAATAAAAGGTGGAGGGGGAAGATGAAAATTGATGGTTATTTTCTATCTAGTTTTATAATAAAGCTCCTTTTAGAAGACATGCTTGATCATTAAAATTCCACATACTGATAAGACCAACTGCTTAACTCTTTAAACATTTCCAGAGAAAATAATATATATGTAGATGCATGCACACACACACACGCACATGCACACACATACACATGCCACATCCCTGGAGCACAGATGAAGGGTTATAAAAATAACAAATGGCTCTACCTTCTACATTTCTATCCCAGTTTTGATGAACTTGCAGGGCACAGTGGTTGGCTGTTTTAGATTTTCAGGGTTAAGCACTTTGATGGGAATAACTAAGACTGAATTTGGGGCAGCTAGGACTGAGTGTTAGATTCTGTTTCTGTTACAGGGATTCTGCTTCTGTCTGAAGGCTAACCTTGGTAAGGATATACCACTGTGGAGACCAGGCTCATACGGCCTCTGTCTCTGGAGTGATGTACTCTCAAACCCTGCAGAAGGAAGCTCTGAGCAGAATACAACAGCAGCTTCTTCTTCATAAAAAATCGTACAATAAGATATTCAGATTATCACAAGCATCATAACAGACGGATCTAAATGTCATTCTAATACTTTTTTTTCTACTAAAATAAAAGTTTAATTAAGGCGGAAAAACATTGCCTGAGGTAAGCTAAAGTGTTTGAAATTATTAACTTCTTGAGCACTTGTTGCTAAAGTACAAAGACCTGTAAAAAGGAAAGAAATTAAGGACTCGAGGAATTGACACAATATTGAAAACTACACCCCTCCTCCTGCCTTGGTCTTTTAGATACGCCTAAGTAAGCTATAAAGCCTCTGCTCCTGAGAGCCTTTTCATTTGGCCTCACTACCTCGGAGCAAATTTCTTCCAGTTGTTCAACAGCCCACTGCCTCCTTCTCTTCACTGCTGAGGCATCTCGTGGCCATCTCCCCGAGACAGGGCGGTGTTCTGTTACAGCGGCTTCAATAGCCCTGCACTTCCTAGCACACCGATTAGCTTGTCAGTCAGGGCCTGGGGGAGGCGGTGTAAATCCCAGAATACCAGGGGCCAGGAGTTTGAACACAGGAATGCGCGCAGGCCCTGTGGTTGCCTACCACCTGTTGCTCGGCAACATGTGCGAAGTGAATTAACGTTTTCTGCCACAACATGCCTTAGAGGTCGCTTGCCATGGCAGCCCTAAGCTTTCGGAATATTTTAACTCATTACCCCAAGTCCACCCCTCCTGATCTGTCGCTGCTTCTGGGACTCCTTGAGAGGCCAAGTTTGACAAACAGGTCGGCCAGGGTGAGGGGGAGGGTGTGCTAATTGGGAAAGGCTACAAGGGGAGAGCAACTGGTTTCTTATTTTATTTTTCAAAGTCAACAGGCTGCCTGCTTCTTGATTACACATTAATGGAAAACAGTTTCCACAGTTAATGTGAGCATGTTGTGTGGGTTTCTGTATAGGGGTGCATTTTGGATGTGTGTGCTCCTTTCTTGAACTCCAAACAACGCCTTTGGCGCTATCTGGGGAGTCATAAGGTAGGATTTCCTTGTCCGAAGGTTGGGAACACACAAGATCATTTAAAAGTCAAGAAAGGAAGGCAAAGCTTGCACACAGGTTGCTCTGCCCTTCTTGTTGATTCGAATACTCAGCAGGACTTCCTGTATTGCTTCAAATGGGATTAGATGATCTTTATCTATTAGCAGATAATTATAGGATACTATCATTACACACACACACACACACACACACACACACACACACCACATGCTTTAAAGGTTCCAGTTCCACTAGGAAAGGCCGTGAACACAGCCCCTTCCAGAGTGTCACCAATGTCTTCCAGGCCACCTCAGGAAATCTTCTTTCCGATATTTGCTATCCAAGGCCGAGCCAGGCAGACCACAAAAGGAAACCACACTCAGTGCGCTGAGGCACCACCGGCTGCGAAAAGTTTGCTCTCCACGCTTGTAGTTTTCTCACAAACCCTCCACAAACTCACCACAAACCACAGTGTCAACAGGCAGGCTTCGGGGAGGAATTGTCAAACTAAGTCACCCATTTTAAAGGGATTTCTAGTGATGCGAACAAAATCTCCGCAGTCATGAGCACACACAAATTCAGTGGTGGGCGTGGAAAATGCGCTCACGTGCACGTGCGTGTACACACACACACACACACACACACACACACACACTGCTCTCCTCAAGCTATGATTTCCTGGAAGAGCAATTAATTGCCTAGCATGCATGAGGCTCTTGGATTCAGTTTCAAGCACTAGAAGAGAAAGAAGGAAAAAAAGAAGGAAAGGGGAAGGGAGGGTGAGGGAAGGGAGGCCGAGGGAAGGAAGGGAAGGGACATGCTTCTCCCCAAGCATGTTTCCCTAACGTGACACATGCTTTCAGAAACAGACTTGGTAATTTAAATTCAAGCTCTCTTCTTGGATATGATGTACAAATACGGGAAAACTGGATGTTTTTTTCTCCTGCAAGTATTCAATCTTTGGAAAATCTACTTTTTTAGGTCTCATAGCTAAGTTTCACACATGAACTTAGAAGCTGGTACTAGAATTTTATACTCTGGTGGGAAAATGATTAAAGATTAAAAAAAAAAAGAACCTTAAAGGCATGTCTTACAAGTCCTATGTTGAAAAACACTACCCTTGGTTTCCAAAGTAAATAAATAACAAGTTTTATAAGCAGACCAACATATAGATATTAGAGCTAAAAAGGACCTTTAGATTTAGAAACGATTTAGAAACTTTAAACCGTTTCATCTATAACCTCTTGAAAGTTCTATTTTCAATGAACAGTACCTAGCTGTACACACTGCAGTCAGGGAACCCCTTCTTGTTACTGTTATTCTGAATGTAATTTGACTTTATTTCACAAGCTTGTGTGAATAGCAGTTTCTGACATCCATTCCTGGCTGCAGCTAGGTCCCATGACAGAAGAGCCCAACCTCTCAGAAGTCAGAGCCTGCTCGGAGGCTATGGCGGCTATCCGTGAAGGACAGTGCTCTCTTGGTATCTGCTCCCCAATTCTGCTTCACCCTTCTCCCCAGCGCCTGCTTCTTGTGTGCTGTTGCCAGAGTTTTCCAGACTCTGTGCTCACGCCGGCCCATCCCGCAGCAGCCCATGCAGGAAACAAGAATGCTCATCTGCAGACCGACAGGCTTCTCTGTGAAAGTCCAGATGGTCCCTGCGACATCAAACACATTCGCACTGTGCTTTGAACGAACAGCTCTAATGAAGCTGCTACCAACTAACCTTCCGCCATGGCAAGGATCCTCCAGATGGCTAAACAGAGGACTTGTCTTCCCAGAGCCTGAGGAGTCCAGGTTTACTTAGTTCCAAAAACATCACAATTCTGTTACGATTACTTACATATATTTACATTGCAACACAATCAGAATTGCCTCAACTCTTTCTCTGAACTCTAAGTGGCTGGCTTATTGTCCTTTCGTTGGGTGCTGGAGAACAAGCCCAGGACATTGTATGGGCTAGGGATGTGTTCTGCCTCTGAGCCACATCCTTGTCTCCCAACTGACTAATTTAAATAAGGGTATTTACAAAATATGCACAAACACACACACACACACACACAAAAGCACACATGCAGACACAGACACACGCCAACACATATACACGCACGCACATACACACACACACACATACACATGCACACACTCTCCATGGCCCTGCTCATTTATATGACTCTACCAATGCCTGAGAATTCAATCCCTGAGGTAACTGAGCCCAACAATCCCTTCTGGATGGCACAAACATCTTATTAGCTACCACAGGCAACCTGGCCACACCAGGGACGTTCCGTGCTCAAGAGAACTCTAGGGAACACAAATTCTGTCACGGCATCTATTGCATTTCCATGTTCATTTTATTCTTTTCTACTCTCAAAGGCATCAGTGTGAGTCATCAGGGCCTAGTGCCAACATAACAACAGGACAAACTGGTGCCAAGATAGGCTAGAACACCGAGGCAAGTCGAACCCATTCCTGCGCCGAGTAGCCAGACAGGGCTTGGATTTCAGGTTCATGTGACGACAACAGTGTCCCCCACCTCCCAATTACAGAGATCTGAGGGTAGCTTTGCCAGGGGAGAACAAACGTAATAAATAAATAATCATTTGTGAGGTTATACAAAGCCGCCCAAGGGAAACTGTATTTCTCCAGCCCAGCCCCATATGAGAAGCAAATGGGCACTTCGTATATTTCCCTTCTTTAGAAACTGATATATGAAAACAGACTAATGAAATCTGATTAATATAAATGATGTTTAGCCAATTATCTGAATGACTTAAGGCTGAATTAATTTTACCTTCAGCGTTGTGATTACAGGCAGCTAAGAAACGTGAACCTCTCATTCTGTCCAATCTTCTTCACATCCCTGACAATGTTCAATACTCTTGCTATCTAGTCTAGTTTTTGTTCAAAAGGAAGAAGCTTCTAAATTCTTAGAGAACTGTCTGCAGATTTTTCCAGCAGACTCAGTTTCCCCTCAGAGATAGCAGGGAGCATGGAAAGAGGAATGAAGTCAGTCTAGATAGTACAGAGCTGTCAGTAATATACACTGGTCTGGACCTCTAGAATTTCCTGGTTTGATCTCAGACTCTCTATACAGCATCCCTGGTATCTCTATGATATTACTGTGGAGTTGGAGGAGGAGCCGAACAGAAAGATATGGTCAGGAAGCCTGGTTTGATCTCAGACTCTCTATACAGCAGCCCTGGCATCTCTATGATATTACTGTGGAGTTGGAGGAGGAGCAGAACAGAAAGATGTGGTCAGGAAGTGAGGTGCTAACGTTTATCTTACATAGGACTATGTGTAAAAGGTGGCTCAGCTGCCAACCATGGCTGGACTTCACTTGTGCCTTGGCTGTAAAATGAAGATAACAGGATCAATTTACAGAGTCATTATTAATATATAGAATAATCTGTGTAAGCACCTCAGGCTAAGTTCCTGCCCTGTGACACCCACCCAAAATAAAATAGATGATGGGGGCTGGAGAGATGGTTCAGGGATGGCGAGCACTGACTGCCCTTCCAGAGGACCCGGGTTCAATTCCCAGCACCTACATGGCAACTCACAACTGTCTGGAATTTCAGTTCCTGGGGACCTGACATCCATGGAAAGACATTAATGCACATAAAATAAAAACAAATAATTAAAAAAGTAGATGACAGTGTTCAATTTTATGTTCAGAAGACATACACACACACCCCAGAAAGACATACATAACAGTAACACAGGCACATGTACATACATATTCATACATATACATATACACAAACACATAAATACATACACATGCATGCACATATGCTCATATCTACTCACATATACACACATGCACACAAATACACATATAAATACACAAACACACATATATACATAAACACACACTTAAAAAAATATACACAGATACAGACACACTTATATATGTATAAGTGTATATATGTATATATGTATATATACATATTTAAACACATACACATTCATTCATATGTACACACACTCTCCTAGAAATGAATGGGAGTATAAAAATCATATTTTACTTTGTTGATGCATGTTTGCTGACTCTACATAGAAAAAGAGAGAGAGAGAGAGAGAGAGAGAGAGAGAGAGAGAGAGAGAGCTTGCATCTCAGTACCAGAAGCCAGGAGACTCAGAGGGGACCTAGGTAGAACCCAAAGTTACCTCCCAACCTTGAGAGGTAGCTCCGAAGACACTGGCCTCCGGCAGTTTGTGCTCTTTGTTTCGGGGCTAAGTGTAGCCTCTCAAATGACCAGACAGGGCTAGAAAGAGTATCACACTTTATATGTAATATGCCATGTGGAAACACACGCACACATTTAAGGCTATTTAAGGAAACGATCCTTAAACAGATAATACAAACAGCCAACAAGCCTCTAAAAGGATGGTCACCCTCATTAACCGTTAGAGAAATGCAAATCATGGCCATTATGAAAAGTTACTTTACACATACAAAGATGACTAGCAAGAGAAATGGGCAATGATCATTGACGAGGATGGGGAAACTCGAGCCTTAGCGCATTGCAGGCAAGGGTATAAAACAATGCGGTTTTGTGATGCTTAAATGAGTCCATGGAGGATTACCATATGACTCAGAATCTCCTCTCTACTTCAATTGTGCTCCTAAGAAAAAGAAAGAAAGAAAAGCATTCAAACAAACATCAGGAATGTCTACCAGCTAATGAAAGAACTTTTTACTCATGACACAGCCATACAATGGAATATTACTCACCCATTTAAAGGGGTGGAGTTCTGATAAATGCAGCTATATGCATAAACTTCCATTGGAAACGTTATTATAAAGTGGGAAAAAAAACACAGAATGCTGATTCGCATGTCAATGTAATTAGATAACATACAAAACTCCACGTGGGCAACATTGTGATGGTACACAGTCAAGGACTGGAGGAGAAGAGAAGGGCAGTCAGTTCGTCATGGGGATGGCTTCCCTTTGGGGACAGTGGAGATGGACATGTTTCCCAGCCAGAACCTAGCTCTGCAAGGAGAGCCTCCTCTATCACTTCCTCAGCCTTTCCAGCATCTCCCTGCCTATCTGGTTATGGAGCCCCGTACCCTAGGTGGATCCCTCTAGAAGCTGATATCTTGCCTAGCCTTACAAACAGATCGGGCGTCGGTGCTAAAAGTCTAGCCACAGATTTTAACCTTTTGTCACCTTTTAGTCTCAGTCACACTTCCCCTTCACCCTTGGAACAGTTGCCTGGAATTGCTGGTGAAGGCCTGCCTAGTACTTTAACCCAGTGAAGGAGGACCTGGGAGGGGGGGGGGAGGGCTCAATCTTCCTCCTTGAGAAATGTATTTTCTCAGGCTGGGCCAGGCTAGCGTTATGCTGAAGCGCGTGTTCCTTGTACTGTTTGTGCACAGGGCAGAAAAAGCGCTACCCATATGTTAAATCCAGTTTTAGACACCTCTCTCCTGACCAAGGGTTCTTTGACGTACAGGGGGAAAGGTCATTCTCTCACTAGCTAGTTCTACTCAACTAATTAGAAGACCTCCACGCGTCGGCAAAAGGGCTCTGTGAAGCCATATCAAAAGAGTTTATGTGAGCGATTTACAAAAATCATGGTCAAGAAAATGGGAGGACGTTCAAGGCAATGTGAAACCGTCAGCATATTAAAATCTTAATGGCACAAAAGCAAGGAAGGGTTTTTAAAAAAAAAAAAGTAACAGAGACCATGAATTACCTGTCCTCCAATAGATTATGTAATATTATGCTTCAATATAACATATATTGAAAAATATAAAATGTGTACATTGTCACTGAAATGCCTGGCCTCCATAACTCCATCCACAAACACATAAAGACTGTGTTCAGTGGAAAGTCATGGCTGCCCTCCACTCCTGGAACTGAATCTCTATTTTCTGTTTAACTTGAAAAATTAAAACTGCCCCCATGGAAATCAGGTTTTGCTTTTGTTTTGTTTTGTTTTTCTTCACTTCTCCGTGGGTATCATTCAAACCACAAACAATGACATGAGATTTCTTCCACCCTTAACAGACAGCTGTCAAATATGAGCCTCCAGCATAGGGAGATGAGTCGATGAGTTTCTGTGTCAAAAACTGCAGAGCTAATTACTGTTGAAAAATGCCCCCAAGCATCGCAGAGAGAGGTCTTGACCAGCAAAGCATTTGCCATGCAGACAGGAAGACTGGAACTGAGATCCCCCAAATCATGAAGGTTCAACTCTGTAACCTCAGTGCTGGGGACTCAGAAACACAAGGATATCGGGCGCTCATTGCTTAGCCAGTCTGGCTGAACTGGTGAGCACCACGTTCAGTGAGAAACCTCAACTCAGAAAAGAATATGGAGAGAGATAGAAGTTTATTCTATGTTGACCTCTGACTTAATAGGCACACACACAAACACACACATACACACAAGGTCACACACAACCATACACATGGGCACACACACATACCACAGATACACTCACACAAATAACCCTTTGAAAATAACCCCTCCTTTCTCCTCAATTAGATAAAAATTGGGAGTCAACGCCTGTGTTATTATAAGAAAGTTCACCCACAATAACACTTGGTGCTCCTGAGTTCCTTCAGAGTACTGTGGGTAGGTTTTTGTTACTTGGAATTTTTTCCCCATTTTTAACAAAGTGTTACTTTTTGCATACAGTAAAATGTATCCTGGGGAAAGGGAAACTGTTTTGACATAGAGAATTGGTTGGCTGTAGGAAATTGTTCATCCTACCATCTTTATCATCTCAAAACGTACAAAACAAACCCTCTTCTACAGTTCACCCTAGCAACCTGCACAGTGGACTCCAGGGAACAGTAGCCATCTTGGGCACTCAGCAGGTTTCACTGGGCAAGGCTGGACTATCATGCTATTGCTGGGAAACCCACATAACCACTCGTTTGGTTCACACCCATTCACTGCGAACTTCCCGTGGCCTTATTGGCCTCCCAGGCAAGCAGAGCACTGACAAATCAGCCTAGAAGGAACTATAAAGAACAAAGGGCAGGAGGTTACAATTTAAAAAAATGAAAATTAATTAAATTTTCACCTAATTTTAAGTTATATATTCCCTAAACAATCCAATTGTACAGCATAACAATTTATAAAATAACAACTTCATGGGAAATTTGCAGCATGAAGCCTGTGCGTTGGCCAGCACCGGGGCTCAGAAAGGGAAATGCCAATTGGAGTTGGGGTGGTCTTTTTGCTTCCTTGTAAAGTTAACTACTTTAATCAATTTTTAGAAAGTGAGCTAGCTAGTTTCCCTTATTTCTACAGAGAAATAGCAAGAAAGCAGCCTATTCTGCCGAGGAAGTGTTTGCTGTAAAGACTTGAGAAGCAGCTTGCTTGGTCCACTTCTCATACAACCCTTTGGGAGGATAGGTACAGTGGCGGGAAATGTAATGGCTTAGTGTCTTGAAGTGCAAGTGCATCTTTTATAAATGGTAGGAAAACATAAGCCATAATGATCATTGTATTTGTTCACCTTTACGTCCGTGATGCCGGTGTGAAGTTCATGCTTCCTCTGGTTCTAGGCCACAGATAGACAGAAACAGGAAACAGGCACCTCTCTGGAGTTTACAGTCTACTGGGGAAAGACAGACAAGAACAAATAAATATCATTTGGTAGGTCAGATGGTGATACAAAAGGGTATGCGATGGGAAAATAGCTCGGATACTCTTTAGAGTGTTGGTAATTTCACCCAGAGTGGAGAAGAGGAAGGTTTTGCCAAATATGTGAGACTTGGGAATGTGTGGTGTCCACGCCAAGGTCTAGGGTAAGAAAAACACAAAAGTAGATGCAAAGACCTCACCCTTTAACTACATAACTGCCTATGCCCAATCCAGGGAGTATAAGCATACTAGATAGAATTGGACAATGTGGACCTGGGCAGGGCAAGCAAGGTGGGCGCACGAAGGTGAAAGGAAAAAAAACATAAAGCAAATGAAAAGACCTGTAAAAACTCCTTTCTCTAACCTGCATGTAAAACCATTGCACTCTTTAACACTCGAGAGATAGGACTCCAATGCTAACAGAAAAATATGCAAGCTTCCAAGAGTGAAATGGGTATGTTTGGTTATGGCAACTTGGGCCATGCCTGCAGCTTTCTCCTTTTCCATAAAATACCCTCCAAGAGCTAGACCAAAAAGGGATACAAAGCGCTCACCAGAAACTTTGGAACTCTCCAGCCCAAAGGGCCCCACTGCCTCAGCCCAGATAGATGACCCCACTCGTCACCGAGGGTGGACAACTGGCTTGCCTCCAGCTTCCCTGTGTGGGAAGATGATTATCGCATGAGTCCGCGGATCTTCACATCTCAACCCCGCCACAAATGAAAGAACTTCCTCTGCCCCCTCAAAACATCTGGAATCTGCCTGCCGGGGCCTCAGATCCAAGTGGAAACATCTGTGCCTCTCTGAGCAGCCAGAACTGGGTGGCATCTAAATATGATTGTGAAAAGTTGCTCGGATAAAAAGGTATGTTTTTTTAAATCTATAAAACGTTTGGCCACAAACGGAGGATGAAGAAATACAGCTTATGTACGTAGCCAGGCAGATCTTTCTCAGCTCATTCGAGCACGGACTCCTGAACACAGAACATCAGCTGGTATTGTTCTTTCCACTAAGTGTAGCTAGCTTCTCCTCTGCGGCTCTGACAAGCTGAAATCCGTGGGCAGTTTGGGCTCTGGCCACTCGGAACCCCCAGTGGCATGCTTTCCGCATGACTACCTCTCACTCAGGAGGTTCGCGAAATCGCAGCCGTGTGTTGGAGTGGGAGAGCGTGCGCATTAGTCATCTCGTTCCGTGAATAGGACGCTGTCATCGCTGTCAAACATAATAAACGTGCAAGGAAAACACTTCCCCACGTATTGATCTGCTCCACACCTCCTGCGGTGAGCCCAGAGTGAGAGAGCTACCTGTCTCTCACTCCCCACCTAGGTGCACAGGCTTCCCAGCTTCCTGGAAGTGTTTATTCTGGAAACAGTTGAAAGCATCAACCTCAAACTTCCCCATCGGTCCTCTTTGGTCATATAATCCCTCACAGGAACTGAAATACCTTATACTAAATACTCAGATGAACTTGTGTGGCTTTGGCCAAGGCTCATTTATTACCAATGGGATTATTATTATTATTAATGCATTTTAGCTTTTGGTCATCAGTGTTTTTTCCCCCTTAGACCATACCTTCTTGGCCTTATTAGGAGTAACTACAAAGACAGTCACTATATATTAAATATATATTATATATATATATATATATTATTATATGATAGGAAAGCACTTAGCTAGGGGTATTCATATACACTTCTTTACATCGTTACACGCCGTTGGTGTATATTCCTGCATATTCCTACCAGGGTTTTGTACGTAAGGAGCTGAAGCACAGATAAGAAAGGGAAAAGAAGAAGCTTGCCTACCCTCACGCAGAGAGCATGCAATCCATGTTACAAAGCCGCTTTCCTAAGTGGTGGGTTCGTATCCAGAATGAGAAAGGGGCTTTCCTGATGAATGAACGCATGAGTAAGAAGCAGAGATGGGGGCTATACACTGGGACCCATAGCTGCCATGGAGGGAAGCAGGACTCAGAGTCCCAGCCGCTCTTCTGTGTCCCATGATGCTGCCTGTGGTGGGATAGTTGTACACTGAGTGAAGGTGTGTTGCTGTGATTGGTATAGTAAAAAGCTGAATAACCAATAGCTAGGTGGGTGGTGTAGGCGGGACTTCAGAGGAGAAAGAGAAAGAGAAAGAGGAATCTAGGTGTGCAGGAACCATGGAGAGGAGACAGGAGGTACAAGATGGAAGACAGGTAATGCCACATGACAGAACGCAGATTAATATAGATGGGTTAATTTAAGTTAAAAACAAAGCTAGTTAGAAGCAAACGTAAGCTAAAGGCCAAGCTTTCGTAATTAATAATAAGTCTCACACTATTTTTTGTAAACGGGTGCCCCCCCCCCCAAAATCCATTTTCAGCTGCCTGTATAAACCACTTCCACATGAACCCTGGGCCCAGCGGAGTTTCCACGTTGTTGGTCTCTGTGGTAACACACGCCTCCACATTGAGCTCTAAGACAGACTTCCCCACACCAGCCTTAGCGCTCACCTGCGAAGGCAGCAGCAATGACGACAGAAAAGTCCCCAAGTCTTCCGTCATTGGAGCGCCATGGTGACCGTCCCCTTCTGGGCACTTTTGTGGCAGACCTTTCTGGAAGCTGAGCTGCCTAATCGATTTCTCCAGAACCCTAGTGAGCCATTTCACATCCTTCGTTAGATGTCGTTCATTTATTTATTTATTTATTTATTTATTTATTTATTTATTTATTTATTTATTTTTGCTGAAACCAATTAAGAGTGGAGTCTGTTTTTGCAACTTACGGCCCTAACTGACACGGGCGGGAAAGGCGGAAGCACGGACTCAGCAGGCTTTTATTTTGCTGGGAGCTAGTCTCACGCTTGCCGTTGTGGGGTTAGTCAGCTATGTGTCTCCTTGACAAACTCCTTGAGACAATTAGCTGACAGAGGCTAGGCAGCTTATTTTATTTGTTTAAACTTTGGACTATTTATGGATATGTATGCATACTCGGGCGTCCATATGTGCACCATATATGTGCAGGTGTCCGTGGAGGCCGGAAGAGGAGAGCTGGAACTAGAGCGTGTAGAGATTAGGGTTAGGTGCACCACCCCACGTGGGTGCTTAGCACTGAACCCAGGTCCTCTGCGAGACCAGAAAGAGCTCTTGGCTCGTGAGTCACCTCTTCAGCCGCAAACTGACCTATTTCGGTTAACAATATCAAAAGTTTCACTGAGGTCGTAGTTGGTTGTCTCACTTGCTTTAGGGCCCTTGCAAAGGAGAAAAGTGGACAAGGAGCACGTGATTGAAGCTGCTCCTCGGGGTGGGAGGGGCTTAGAATGGCAAAGTGCCACGCATAAGGATACCCACAAATGACCTAACTTCTTCCACCTGTCTCCTACCCATAAAGGCTCTACCACTACCATCTCTATACCCACACACAGGCGGGGGCACAATTTTTATTACATGGAACTTTGGAGGACATTTCAAATCCAACTACAGCAGGCTTTGATTTTCTACTAGTACTCCCCTCCACCCACCCACCACACACACACACACACACACACACACACACACACACACACACACACACTGTAGGGAATGCCTGAGTCCATAATAAAGGAGATGAATTAACTCTGGGAAAACTATAGCCTGCATTGTAATACAGCATGTTAGCATGAAACAACATCCAGGGGCTAGAAGGAGCTTTAACATTTTGAACAAGAGGAACCTCAACTTTATCAGGGATGGCATGGGTCAGAATGAATCTGGATCCGCTCTGTAGCAGCCTGGACACCATCACTCTTCACACTAACAGCCCATCATCCCAGGAGGGAACAAAGCTGAGTTGTCTGTAACGATTTTCCATCTCTGGAAAGCTGTGTTTACTTCTCCCCACTGACTTCACACGTTTCCAGAGAAAAATCAGGCTGTGTTCGACATCATTAAAGCAAAATCTGTCCAAGTACATCGTCATCAAGGAGAAAAAAACTTTCCACTCCATGTTCGTTCCTTTTGTCCAACAACACGGGATTAGGCCCAGTGCTGAAGCAGTGGAGCAAGCACTGACCTTGAAGAGGTCCATGCAGAAATCCCAGAGAACACAACACAGCGCAGTTCATGTACTGAGACTTGGGCTGTCAGTGGAGAGCTTCAAAAAAAGGCGATGGTGGCACACACCTTTAATCCCAGCACTTGGGAGGCAGAGGCAGATGGATCTCTGTGAGTTCGAGACCAGCCTGGTCTACAGAGCTAGTTCCAGGACAGGCTCCAAAGCCACAGAGAAACCCTCAAAAAAAAAAAAAAAAAAAAAAAAAGGAGCCAGTGGAACGGCCAACGGAACGGCCAACGGGCTGGTTTGGTGGAATGGGCATGTCAGAGGGAAGAACTGAGTTCAACAATGTAACTAGTAAGCTGCTTCCAAATCTTAAAACACATGGAGGGTCCTTCTTCTGGTCTAAGGGTGGAGAAAGTTCCATTGAACACTGTCAAGTATAAATCAGATGCCCATGCAAATTCCTCGGTAAATCTATTCCGGCAAAGAGTGAGGGCCTTAGAAACTGGTTTGATTCTTTTTGGCCCAATGGTATTTGTCACCTTTATGACTACAGGTTTAATCAGTTCCGTGAAGGTTCCCTATGGTAATCGCCTGCTCTTCCTGACCTGAAAACTTGAAACCTGGGCCTGAATACTGGCAAATAGGAACTCCGCTGTGCCCTTAGGACGGCTCCACACCATCGTGAAGTCGTGAGGTCCCAGCAGCAGTTCCCCTTTGAAGCTTTCTGTTCTTCTGAAGTCCAGTCAGCCAGAAAGGAACATGTCAGACACAAGACCAACATCATCTTTAGCTTTTACGAACAAGTATATCTTACAAATATGCAGATTTTAAGCAAATTTACTAGAATTGTGACAAAATTTCAATAGTTGGGCTTTCCAGTCTTATTCTCTCCTCCTAACTCATCCATGCTACAGATGTGTAGTAGTCTAAAGAGAAAAAAAACCTAAAAATATAGAATCAAAAATATTTGTAATGGTATTCTCAGTGGGTTTTATTTTCTTCAATAGTTACTGTTATATACTTTATAATATATACTTTTATGTATGATATGTATTAAATTATTGAATCATAAAACAAAATTTATTCTAGTAGTATGTTAAGGAATGTTATAAAAGATATGAATATAGAATCAAAAAAGTAATTAAATATAACTTATAGAGAAAGGGGAAAAAATTAAAAAAAAAACAGCACCGATCAGATAAAATTTTTCTACTTTGGATCAGATTCACAGAACTGATTCAATTCTCTGATCATCAGATGTCACGTTTGCTGCAGAGTCACGGGGACCACGTGCGCAGTCCAAGGAAAGGGGGGGGATTGAGAATTTACAGTAGAGAAGAGTCGCAGGAAAAAAAAATAGCGTGAGATAATTTGCTTGATCTTCTGAGAGTCACTAACAGAAGGTCACAGAAACCTCTCTGCTCCCGGGAGGCCTGACTTCAAGATGAGCTGCAAACGACTCTCTGGGTATTCTTGACAAGCTCAGTTCTCAGTTTTCCCCACCGCTATCTCTGTCGGGGCTCTGTCTATAACGATGTCGGTTTGGTTATGGGTCCGTCTCATTGCCTGGATACTTTCTAGTCCAGCCACAGAGGAAAAAAATACTAGGGACTGAGTTCTGCAGTGGAAGAGAATATTTGCAATTGTTAAGGCCCCAGAAAATCTGATACCTCCGAAGATTTTGTTTCAATAAGTTGTATTTGATACGATGAAGAGAACGCGGAAGGAGCTGCTGAGGATGGAGATAAATGAATCAG